ATTAATATTAAAACCCTAATAATTATTTCATTTCCGTTCTCTCTCTAAACCCTTCCTTCTCTCTCTCTTCTCATTCTCTCTACTCTCTCCCTCGTTTAACAGTCCCGGGGGAAGACGAGAAGGCACCACTGTGCAATGAGTGATGAAGCCGCTGTAGTAGCGGCTCTATGCGGAGGCTGCTGGCTGCTGCGAACTCGACGAGACTGCGTTTCTCGGTGGTGAGAACTCGACGAGACTGCTGTGAACTCACAGCGTTTCCCGGTGGTGCACCTGCCATCACCGCAGAAAATAGCCTTCTTCACCGTCGGAAACCAACCGCAGTAGGACCGCCCCGCAAACAATCGCGCGTGGTGTAGCCGCCGTAAGACTCTTTCGGATCCGTCAGATCGCTAGTCAAAAATTGGAATCGAATGCCCAAATCAAATCAACCCTAGATGAGTTGGGCAGCGGCATTTGGTGGTTGTGGTGTTTTCAGTTTGTAAATGGTTGCGTTTTAGTGGTGGTTGTCGTGGTGAGAGGTGGTGGTGTTAGTGGTTGTTCAGTGGTGGTCGTGTGTTGATAATCATGCAGGTTGCGGGTGATGTATGTGTTGTTGAGGGGACAGGGATGGCGGTGGATCTGGTTGCGGGTTTGAGATTTTTTTTTTGTTGGTTCTAGTGGTGACGGCTTTGGGAATTTTTTGCTGGATCTGGTGGTAACGGCTTTGTTGGTGATGGTGCTGTTGTGGTGGCGCCGACGCTTATGAGGTTGACGATGGATCTGGTGGCGACAACGGGTGGTGGTTGTTGGTGGCCGGATATCTGGTGGTGATGATTTTTGTTGGCGATGTCAGTATCAATTAGCAGTGGTGGTGTTGTGACGGTGGCGAGGGTAGGATATTGTATTGACCAACTATTTGATTGATGTGTGACCAAATTTGAAAATGTGTGACCGATAGATAAAATGTAACCTATAATGTTTTTGATCTGTGACTAACGAAATAAACTGTGACCTATAAAATTTTTAATTTGTGACCGAGAAAAAATCTGTGACCAACTAATTTGGAAATATGTGACTGTCACCTATAAATTTTGATATGTGACCAACTAATTTTGAAGTCTGTGACCATCGAATTAATTGTGACCTACAAAATTTTTGAACTGTAATCGCAAAATAATATGTGGTGGCCGGAACGGTAAACGCAATAGTCCTCGAAATTGTAGGAGCGGTGGAGGTGGGGTGAGTTAATTATATTATATTAGAATTAAATATTTAATAAATTTATTTAATAATTAATTAATAAAAATATTTTTAATTAATAAATAAATACCTGAGTTTTGCATTTTGAAACTTGATACCTGAAAATTGAATTGTGTCTTTTTAACCCCCTGACTTTTGAGCTCTTCCCAATATATAAGTCATCTTAAACTTTTAGCCCCTATTTGGTTCGGTTAAAATTTGATTTTAATCTAAGTCAAAGTCAAACAATCAATATTAACCATATCTTTCGTGGTTCTTACAACTTTTCCAACACACATTTCAAAAACTTATATCACAATCTACTAAAAATCTAATTTTAATCCCCACCAAACACAATTTTAATGTAACATAGCATATAAATTTTGTCCCAAACAACTATAGATAATTTATTTTATCTTAAACCCTTTAAACTAACATAGCATACATTTTTTTACAATATACCAATAACTACAAGATGGAAGCTAGAAAAATCATAGCATATTGCAATGTGGAGATTATTCTTACTTATGACTGGCCCTAGTTGGGGCCAAAAAATTTCATGACTACATAGAGATCATTCCCATATAGAGTATCACTTAATAAGCACAAATTGTCACCAATTAGGAAATCCTTCGAAATTTTGTGAAATCATAATTCTTCATTCTAGCTTTATTTAATGCTCAAATTTTGTGTTCCAATTTTTAAATTATTTGGAGCAATGTTTTCAAAATTGACCCCGATCATTGATTCGGAAAAGTAAAATGGCCAAGAGTCAAAATGTCGAAGCGGGTTGAACCAAGGTTGAACTGGTTATATGTATGCATGTACACACACACTAGAAAAATAAGTTAATTTCCAAATAAAATAATATAGAGAGAAAAATTGGCTAAATTTAATTTTCATTATGACCATTTCTAATATCAATAGAAAATGAGACAATAAATATAGAAAAGTCTTCAACAAATGATTCTCATATCATTTTAGTGTGACAAAAAAATAAAATTAAATAAGAAAAATAGAGGTGAAATGAAAAAGAAATCAAATATTGAAATTCAAGAATTTTTTATACAATTTTCCAAATAAAAATAGCACATCGTTTTTAAAGTAATCCCAGCATAATAAAACTTAAAATGCGTGAACTGTTGAACTTGAGGGTGATCAGCAATCTCACATCGAAAAATGAGTAAACGGAAAGGATATAAAGCAACTATAAAAATGAATAGCAACTTGTTAAACAAAAACTTGTTGGGCCTTATTAAGTTATTGGGCCAATGAAGTTTCAATTCTTTTTAATAAAAGAGGAAATTACACAATTCCAGGTGTTAAAAATTTCAAATTCAAAAATTAGGGACCAAATTTAATTCTTCAAAAATCAGGTATTATATAAAAACTCAAACCCTAATTTTTTACTCTCTCCCCTTCCCCTTCCCCTCTCTCTCTCTCTCGCCAGTTGCCTCCCCTCTCTCTTCCGGGGGTCTCCCCCACCTTCCCTCCCCCCCTGCGAATCGTAGCAGCGCTGTCGCTCTTCGCAGCAGAGTGCTGCTGCGATGACCACAGCAGTGCACGCTGTTGCGATTCGTAGCAGCAACTCGCTGCTGCGATGACCCCAACGCTGCTGTGGTGGGTGGCTGCTGTGGGTGGTGGTTTGCGGTGGAGTATTGGGTGTGCTGATTCGATTGGAGTATTGGCCGGCAAAGTATTGGTTTGGGGTTGTGATTTTGCGACAGAGTATTGGGTGTGGCGGATCTGTGGGGTGGCGAATTGGTAGTTGACAGTTTATGTTTGCGGTCGTTGGTGACAGATCTATTGATGGTGGGGGCGGATCTATTGATGGTGGTGGCGGATCTGCTGTTGCGTGTGTTCTGTGGCTGTGGGTGTGGTGGTTTGTGGCCGCTGCGACCTGTGACCAAGCAACAGTAGCCCGTGACCAAATGTTTGGTAATTTGTGACCAAGCATTTGGTCGATCTGTGACCTGTGACCAAGCGGCGGTAGTCTGTGACCAAATGTTTGTTAATATCTGTGACCAATTACTCAAAATATGACCTAAAAATATAATAATACGTGACTCTTTAAAAATCTGTGATCTAGAAATAATATGTGACTAACTAATTTAAAAATCTGTGACCTTTAAATAATTTGTAACGTATAAATTTTTTGATATGTGATCTCGAAATAATTTGGGATAAAAAAATATGACGATATGTGACCAGTAAATAAATCTGTAATTTAAAATTATGAATATGTGACCATTAATCACGAAATGTGACTTTATTATCTTTATTTAATAAATATTTTTAATTAATTAAATCCATACC